TTCACTAGGTGTTCATTCCTTTTCCCTCTCTTTTTTTCCTCTAAATAAATATTATTCTTATGCTTACGAAGTTTGTAATTAAGATAATAAGTTATGTTACATTTAAATTAAGTTCTCAGACTCATTTTATCTTCACTATGTATATATAACTCATACCTACTGATATTTGGTTATCCTTTTCACTTAATTGATACTTTCATAGCATCATTCCAAACTATGACTGCATAAACATTTATTCTAGCGTCATGTTTTTCCTTAATTATTTTCTATTTTATTTTTGTTACTAATTTGACGATGCATACGCAGTCGTTTATTCTTGTTCTGTGTTCATAAACACGACTATTAAATTATTTGCACATTTCACGTCTCCTTTATTTCTATTCCGTTATTTTCTTCCTTTCATTCTTTAAACTCAATTCGATATTCTCCTCAATTACACAGAACCTGATTTATTATTATTAGTCTATTATAATTACTCTTTTTTTTCAAATATGGCAAATATAATGATAACATTGTTGAAAATTGTGTAATATTGCATTTCTTAAGAAACGCGAAATGGTTTCTTCACAACACTTACTGTGGTGTTTGAATCAACTAATGATACCTTTGTACTTGTTGAATGCTTGATTTCGAATTCCAAATACAGTACATTCGTTCGTGTTTATCTATTACTTCTTGATCCGATTGCGTTATTTTTGGGATTTTTAGTTCATACTCTAATCCAAATACTCCTGATTATCACATTTATGTACCCATAAGATTTTTGTGAATAATAATAATAAATAAAGGGAAATAAATAACTCAGTTTACGCAGTCAAATACATAGTTATAAATTGGTTCGACTAGCTGTAACCGATAAAAATTGAAACGGACGTTCAGTAATCAGTTCTTGGTGCAGATACGAAGGCTGTGATAACTAGATCTGGATACAGGGAAAATTAGAAATGATGACACTGGACACGACCAAAACGGACTAAAACTTTATAGTAGTGTGATAAACCAAACAGATCCCTTATCCGCAATACAGAATCTTAAGCTGTTTGTTTACTTTTGACATGGAACTGTCAGAGACGATGTCTTCCAGCAATGTGTGCAACTTGGAGCTCAGATTAATGTGCTATTCAAACACACCAAGAACTTAAGACATCCTAACATCACGAAAGGAGAAAGGCGGAGTTCCCGACCAGTAAACATGAAAGCAGGAAGAAACCTTTAATCCACTCATGTCTGTAGAGCAGACAAGTTTGTTAACTCATAGCTCCTTGTCGTTTAGTGAGATCCAGTGAATCATTGGTATTTATGTCACTTCCCTACGTAAAATAATCTCTTTGACTCATGCTTGTAACCTTGAACCGGTTTCACTACCCAACAAAAACTCCTATTACAAGCTGACCTGAAAAATTACGCTAAAAAAGAGTCCAGTAATGACGTAATTAAGTTTGCCAATTTTGTTGTCTGTGAACACACAAAAAGATCCGTTGAAGTTAACGTCCTAACTGACAGATTATGCACTTGCCAAGTTGCGTCTAGGTATAATTGCCTAAGGACGTTCCTTGCATTAGTTCTCAGTCACCAGCTGCACATCATAATGCAGACGTAAAAGAGTACCCCAGTTATTACATTGAACTGAGATCATACATATTCTAACTTACACAAATTTACCCCCTTGTTTCTATGACCATTTTGCCTTATAACATATCAACCTATCTGAGTAACGTACTACAAAGAATCCTATAGCATTCATAACGATTTGATCATGTCTGTAAACTGAGGTATCTCGCGTGACATATTGTTATTTTTTGAGTAAACTATTATATCCAGTAATTCATTAGTCAAGCTTCGAGTGTTTATGTAGTAGATATGGGGACCATTTACAGTAGCTGTATACACTTGATTAATTAAGATCCAATATGTTTAATGGGAGGAGTTTCACCTTCATTGTAATTTACCAACAGTTCTCCTTTGCTTGTTAAATATACTTAGGCTCATAGCTGGAGGCATCGTTCGTCCACTACGACTGTTGAGCGAAAGCTTGTCTTGTTCTATTTAAACCCATTTGAAACGCTTGAATCAGTATTGTCGTATGTGCGAAATCAGACTAGATGATTATTCGGCATTCATCTTTCAGTCTTCACTCATAAAGATAGTGGGTTGTTGGACCTGTGTCAACGCTTGCACTCCGTTTTTCAGTGGGGGTTCAGCTTCTTGAAAACTCTCAATGATGGGGCTGATACCACTTGGTTAGGTAAAGCATTGCAGACAGAACTTTACTCTAATTTTATAAAACCGCCGTATTTGAATGTTCTTGCTGTGGCTTCGGAAATGATTGGCTCTGCAGGTATCAAGAAGATAAGACATATTAACAACCGAGTCGTTATTAAATATACGTAATGCCAATATTAGGTCACCTAGCTTTCTGAGACGCTATAAGGGGAATGGGTTTGGGCGTTTTAATCCCTCATAATAAGAAAGTTTGAAAAGACCCTTCACTTATTTTTTCCCACTTTCTGAGCACTTCTGAGCCCTTTAGTAACCTTAGCAGTATATGGAAGAGAAGCTTGGTAACGGCACTCTGGATATGGTCCTACAAAAGTGGGACAAAGGTCTGAAACATCTTGTCAAAGCATATGAATACTCGGAGAAGTGAACGTGACGCTCAAAAACCTTTGGTGGCTGATGCATTGTAATGTGCAGTTGTTTTTAAGTCATGATTTACAGTTTCCTTTAAGTCTTTGTGTTCCTACACACATGGAAGCGATGTATCACTTACGTATATTGGTAAACATTGCCGTGTTCGAGTTGCATTGCACACCCTTTCTAAAATTAATTCATAAGCCAAAACCTTGGGACCATCTAACTTATTCGTCCAGGTCACCTTGAAGATCAAGATGATCAGTTATTGTTCCCTAGATTTTGAAATCGCCTGAAAACAATAACGTTGACGACTTGAGTAGCTGCCGTAATTAATTTATTTAGAGATAAAAAAATGGGGAGCCTATGATGATGCTTTGGGGTACACAACGTTTGTTTGGCTCCTATTCAGATAGTGCTCCATCTGCCCTCACTTTCTGTATTCAGTCACAGAGGAAGTTTCTTATCGATTCTTGTACGGCACCTGTTATTCCAATTCTCGGGAGCTTCTGCATAAGGCCTAGGTAAGAACTCTTGCCATCAAATGCTGCGCTAAAATTTATGAATACCACAGTCTTAACTTCTCTGAACATATCTCAACCAAAGCATCTAAAATACGTAAATTGCTCAAGCTTCATGTTTTTGGGACAGAACATTTTGTTTGTGTCAGACTCTTTATGGTCAACAATAAGTCAATCAATCAGTGATATTGAGGTTGTTCTCCTGCGCTCGCTACTCAGACTCATGTTTCAAACTTTATACTGGGTTAGCTATTCTACTAAGACAACTCATAACATGCTAACTCGAGCTTTTACATTAAGACTGTGTGGCAGGCATCGGATGGAAAAAAAACCGGACAATAAAAGATACAGTTATTAGTTTTCTTAACACTTTGCTCTCCATATGCACTTTCTGTTCTAATAAACAGCTTTCCTTATTCCAACCTTGACTTCCCTTCCTTCATTTGAACTTACTCCACCTCGGTAAATATTATCACTCATTGTTATTAATAACTGCATTCTCTCATATGGAGCCTCGAATCATATCTCACTCCGGCAACAAGAGCTAGTATGAATTTAATCTAATAATTTATCATACCTCTGTCTGTTCCGTTACAAAATGTTGAGTATTGTTTGTCGTTGATATCAAATTGCCTTGCTGCTTCTTTGTTAATCTTTTTTTCAGAATCTTGCTCTGAGGGCACAGCTATGGAACTTCTGACATTTGGAACAACCTCGACGCACGCGTTTCCCAAGGTTCACACCAAGCGCTCTACAAGTCTACTTTATAGCGACTATAAACATAAAAAGTTACGTTGCATAAATACTTAGTATGACCAGAATCCTAACACAATCATGCTGGGATTAGATCTTGTGTGTAACGTGGGCTCGATGTAACTTTGGAAAATCTTTTAAAGACTACTCAATATATGTGAACGAGTGAACTGATATCCACTTTTATAGATTATATTTATTTAACAACATTGCTCAAGATGCATACTGTAAACCAATAAATATTGTGATCTGTAGATGGCGTATACCTGCCCTTGAACAAATATGTTATACATATATGTCGACTGAAAAGCAGCCATCTTGGGCTGCTGCCTGACCCTTTCACTCAATAAGTAACTTTAATAAGCCTGAATGCTTAGTCCGAAACCAATGTTGCTCGGGCGTTAACAGATTGTATGATTCTGTGTGATTTCTTGATGCAACTTAACCATTATGCTGGTTAGACTGACAGGTCGGTAGTAAGACACGGTATTTCTCTGTCCATATTCAAATCCAGGACTAACTATATCAACTTTCCTGTCCATAGAGAGTTGAGTGTGAGAAAGATACATGTTGAACAGCGTCATAAGTGGTCCTGACATAATGCCCGAGAAAGGTGACAGCAATTGCGAGTGTGACCCATCAGAACCCGATGTCTTGCTAGGTCCGATGTTAATGGATAATTAAAGAACAGCTTTCCTAGTCACATGCACAGGTCCTATAAGTGGTATCTCAGTGATATAGTTATGATAAATATTGTCAACATTTCCCTCAGAGCTAGGCAAAGTCTCAGCTAAATCAGATTTGATTCGGCTAGAGCTATTTGAATTTCATACAACAGTAATGCAGGAATATCATCACCACGTTTTGTTCTTAGTTTAATGTGCGGAAACAGTCGTTTTGGGTAGGTACGGATCTAACGAAAATTCCAAACCTTAACCAAAATATTTCAAGTTAGAGTCGACCGAGTGTGCTTTAATGAGACAAATAAACAAAAGCAAAGTTAATTCCTAAGTGAGAAATCCACGACTTTTTTAAAACGCTCTTTATTCTCCAAGACTTTAAATGGGGTTGAAAGTCTGGAATGTATCGACTATTCTTGAATAAAACATTGTTGAGGTAATATTACCCACCAATAGGCCACTTACGACGATAATAGACATTGTGTTTTAGTGTATGAAATAAGGAATATGTTTAGTGTCTTTGACAAAAGCTGGTATTTCAACTTTCCGTTGCTCGGAAATGTTTCATCGGTCCTGTAGACTTCTTTTGAGGCTGCGCACTGTCTACAAACCGAGTGCCTGCTTTTCGAGTGGGAAAAGACAAATTTTTCCAGTTGTTACACAGAGGTCTGTCATTTACAGGTAAATGCCCTGAAATAATGTAATCTTAAAAGGTCGATCATTCTAACGAATCATGATTTGCCTTTGTTGTCATTCAAACGTTTTATGTGTAAGTTTGCCAGCTGAATAATTTTACAGTTCAGCTTATCCTCCTCACCTCGTAATTAAACTTCCCAACTTATCTCCTACTATGGAGACAGGTACGGTTGTAAGCTGGGCAAAGAACGAAGGCGATGAAGTATGTTCGCTCCTCTTTTGTTAATCTTCTAGGTTTCGGAAGGTGACCTACTTGCTGAAATCGAAACAGACAAAGCAACCATGTCATTTGACGCCAATGAGTCCGGATTTCTTGCGAAAATCTTGGCCCCTGCTGGAAGCAAAGATATACCTGTCGGAACAGTATATTTTCCCGTTATGTTATTTTAATATTCTAGGCTCTATGTATCATAGTTCAAGACGAGAGTGCCGTTTCGGCTTTCAAGGATTATGTAACTGGACCAACAGTAAGTTGTCATTCATGTGTATTTCAATACCGTTAAAATATTTCCTTAAACATCTATATACTAAGTTCGTATTGCAGTATTAAAATATCTACCTCGGAGATAAAAAATATACTTCTGAAGGTATCCATGGTATGTTGTAACACTAAGGCGTTCTCAATTTCTTTATAATTTGGTTCATTCGTTCACAGTCCTGACATGTACTGGTGAAATGAATTTTGAATTTAAATGTAGTTCAATGTGTAGGAAGTTAATCTGTTAGTTTCAGACGTAATTATTGTAGTTCTAATGGTCTTCAGCCGTATTAACCACATTCAAAAGACTTTTTCATGTTAATTAGAAAATAAGATGGATATTGTAAAATAAACTATAAATCTACAATTTAAGAAACAGCCGGATTTTTTAGTGAGTTTTATGCCTCTGATATCACTGTGGACGAACGTTTGTTGCAAATGTTTTGTACTTAGTAGGGTCAGGTTTTTTCTCCATAGTCTATAGTTAAACAGTCCGATTTTCAGCATTGCTTATTAATGATCATGATTTTTGTTGTTCAATTATGGATTTGTACTCAAATCACACTAGTAAGGTGGTAACTCTTGTCAAAGTACTCGGCTTTCCACCCCTATTTTGCATATTCAAACTCCCGTCTATCTCCGTTTGGACAGCTGATTGGTATCATTACTATCCACTCAAACTCGAGTAAATAAACCTGTACTTTTTATTCAAACTACGTTTGATATTAACTAGCCAAGCTAGCTCCCGTCGAGTTTTTTCAACCTAAACCTCTGTGCAAGTTCTTAGCATATATTTTCACATCAATCGGTGGCATGATAAATAGTCCCAGTAAAATTTTGGGAAACGTTAAGATGCAATAGAAGGTACGATTACCTCACTTGAAAATATTGAACTTCATCCTGCGAATTCAGTCACACATTCTTATTGCCCGATTGAGCTCTTAGCAATAGACTACGCTGTCCATAATGATATGGAACGTACAGCGTTTGTTATTTGATTATTTGACATTTATTCAAACCTCTGTTCTTTGGGTAGTAAATCTCAACTATTTCATTCATTAGCTACAATCTGGAATAAAGTTAGTCAACCGCTGTAAATAACTGTCCATATGTCTAACTAAATAAGTGAACACTTTCGTGTCTATAAAAAATATATCATTATCCGTAGGTGAATGATCGTTGCTTGCATATTTATTTTGATTGCCTCCACGTAAGTTCAATCGTTTGACAGATCATTTTTTAATTAAACACAAGGAATGTTTAATACTAGAAAAAATTGATCCGTTTCAAGTTACAATCTCAATGTTATATTAATGTGGTGTTTGCTACTGATGTCGACAGATATAAGTGGTATGTATCATCAATCGAAAGTGAAATGCGTCGAGGTAGAAGGTTAAGAAGATCGAAAGAAAGAATGAGGGCAGAGACTGATTGGTGTGAAAATGAAGGAACAATCATGTCTGAAACGATGGATTGACATTTTTTTCAAATGAATTATTCACTGTATGATTCTCAGATTTTACTAAGTGATTCTGTGATTTTGTATGCAAATACATTCAGTTGTCTCCACTTGTGTTCTCGTTCACTACAATCTTAATATTAATGTAGTTAAGTCAACTCCCATCTATCCTTACTTATAATGCATGTGAATTAAGCCAATATTGGGACAATCCGAATAGTGTGCACATATGCGAATAAGGGATTGATCAATTGCAGTCCTAAACATCAATGGGAAGATTCAAGTAAACAATACCAAATGAATTTAAACTTCACCCCATTGCACAAGCAAGTGGCTATCAGGACTCAGTAGCTAAGTGGATAACGCGATGGCATTTGAAGCGAACGGTATTCAGTTCGAATACTCGAGCGAACGTCAACTCTGGGATGAGAGCACATCTAGCTGACGAGTCCCAAATAGGACGAGACGTGCACCTTGGATTTTACTGCTAGCCGCTATCCATCTTTACTTATAATATATCATATGGTTTTTGTAGATCCCATGCCTTCGTAATATTTCGTATAAAGCACATATATGCTTCATATATCATCTTTAAATTACAAGTGAGTTTATTTTTAAATTCTGTTCAGGAACAAGTTTCTACTCCGAAAACTGAAGTACCCAAACCTCAGGTCCCTCCTGCTGCTGCTCCTCAGCCCTCACCAGCTACACCTAAACCTATTACTCCTACTCCCAAAGCACCAGCAACCGGCGAAAGGGCTGTTGTTTCACCGTTCGCTCGTCGTTTGGCTGCTGAAAAGGGACTTGATTTGTCAAATGTAGTTGGCACTGGCATGTACGGCATGATTCGTTCGACTGACTTAAATCTTGAATCTATTGATCAAAAAGCTAGCACAATGACTGGTGGTCCAATGTTAAATTATGGAAAATTCGAGGATATTAATGTTAGCAACATGCGATCAGTAAGTGTGTTTACAAATTCATTGAGTGGATTTGTATTTTAGTTTCATGATATGTTTAGTACGATTGTGTTAAGACATAGGGTGTATTCCTACTCGACTACTTGGACTAGGTCCACAACTAATTTTCCAAGAGAGGGGTTTTGTTTTAGTGTACTTTGGATCTAGTAAAACGACCAGTGTTTATTTGTTATAGATCTGAAATAAATTAGTTTGAATATGTTTTATTCTTTTACTAGCGATGACGTTGAAAATATTGGGATTCAATCTCACCTCACAATGCAAACGATAAATGCAGAGTAGACATACCCGAGTTTATTCATTGAGATTCTCTAAAAATTAGTTTCACCGCTTTCGTGTCTAACCGTATTAGGCTTTTGCTCTTAGTTCGTTCGATTTCAGTCAATCGTAAACAATACATAACCTGATACATATGTGCATCAGCCCCAGTTGCTACACCATATCGACACACGGCGATGAATTCTGATGAATATCTGTAGATTCGAACACGAAATTCATTTCTAGAAATACAGCTTAAACAAAATTAGTTTGAAAGGAAGTTGATGATCATCTTTCTTATTAGAGAAGTTGTAGTGCAGTAACACGTACTCTTATCCCAGAAAACTAAGAGGAGCTCGACCATGACTTGATTTCAGTTCACAGTGTCATTGAACTTTTGATCTGAGTTGTCAGATGGAATAAAGACCGTATGATTAAGGAATTTATTGTATCTGGTTTAAATCCACCTACTATTTATCTTTTCATCATTCGTTCTCAGCTGTTTTTTCTTCTTGAATGCTGTGTTAATGAGGGCAATACTTGTCTATTGAACTTTTCGGGACCACACCCCGAGCCTTTGACCTAAAGGTCTGACCCACAAGGCAGTGGAGCATCGTGAGGAGATGCAGTCCCATGGTAGCCGGTGACCAACGATTGGTTCATACGCCATTTGTTCCCGCAGGATACTGGAGCCCATGTGCACCATTGGTTTGGAATCCGGTTAAAGCACCGGACATTCGCTTTTCGTTCTCTCCATTTCGTAAACAACACCCGTAGTGTAAGAAGGCATTGAGTAGGACTTCCCTGGCAGAGGCTATATACGCGTGGCCATGTGAGAGCATTTCGAGAGGGAGGGTGGGTCCACCCCATTCCCGGCCATACCAGGGCATTCGGGGGCATATTTGTTCTAGTTCCTATTCTATCTCTACCTATATTATATTATTATTAGCTTTATTCAATATTATAATTTTGGTACAATATAGAATTCTCAGCTCAAAGTATTTCAACAAGTTTCCGTTTCTTTCTTCTTGGTCGGTCCTGGCGATAAATATTGAGGAAACGCCAGTTAGATGTTAGCACTTCAGTGAATGAACAACTGGATAATGTGCATTCTTTTCGTTGTACATTGCCAGCAACCATATTGTCTCTTATTGAGTTTTCTGTAACTTTGACAACGAAAGGTTGTACACTTTTCAGAAACGCAGCAGAATAGGTTATGCGATTAATAAACATAATGATATATTAAAACAAACAACAATAGATAACTTGTTGAAATATCTAGATGGCAGGAACAGGTAGCCCAGATGCTCAAGCAGGCCGCCCTAGTTGTTGGTGATATCTTTGGATTTACTTTTCAGAGCCTCATATGACCAAGAGAGTTTTATCAGTCTCCTAAAGTCTGACTTAATTTCATGGTACTTTCTCTAAAAGCCATACATTAAGTCAAATAAATGTATTATATTGGCGTGTGAAGATCTATTCGAAACATCTTTGACCAGACTAAAAAGATTACAATCTCACTAATCTTTGGTTTGTCTTTGAAATAATATCAACAGTCAGATAAGCACTGATCTCGAAATCGTATCTATATGAATGAGAGAAAATGTGTGATAATAGATGTTAGCTAAAACAACTTTGGCCGCTTTGTTAGATATAGCAATCCAGACGTTCCATTCTATTTAGCTCATCTTTCTCTGTCGTCGTATCCCATTTGTAATGATATAGGTAGGTTGGAGGGATTTTGTTAAATTGTGATTTTTATCCATTTCAATCAACCCCAGCTGATATGTAACAACTTTTTATATGGATTAATATAATCAGTATATTAAATTCTATTGTCGATTTTGCTCAATTTCAATTTTGTTTGATAAAGTGTACATATCCATTCTTCTGAAAGATGACTGTTCACACTTTCATATCACTGTGACTTTTGACAATATACAATGATTGAACGAGATGGTATTATATGAAATGTGTTCGGTAAATTGTATATTAACCACATAATATTTTGTCCAACTCATGTCAAAATCAATCAATGTTCATTGATTTTTTAGTAATCAACACTGTCACTAATTCTCTATGAATTTCTTTTTTATATCTAAGGTAATTGCTAAACGATTAACTGAATCAAAACAAACTATTCCACATTATTATTTAACAATGGATATTCAAGTAGATGAAATTTTAGAAATACGCTCTAAAATTAATTCAAATTTATCTAATTTAAATGACTCAAAATCTGATGAACTTGTGCCAAAAATAAGTTTAAATGATATTCTTATAAAAGCAGCATCATTGACATGTTTAAAAGTACCTGAATGTAATTCATCTTGGCATGGGGATTTTATTCGACAGTAAGTTGTTTGATATTGTTTGATAATTTGAATGTTTGTTTAAATTGGATTCAGCTCAATATATTAGTAGTACTTAATACTAATAGTTGAGTTATTTTATGTGGGTAGGGATATTCAGCTCCAATGGAACAATAGAGTATATGTGTATCCCAGAATAAGAATTTCGAGGATCAGAGATCAGATCATAGATGGAGGCAATCAAAATAAATATACATTCACCTACGGACAATGATCAACCATTTATAGAAAAGTCTTAACGACTAACTCACTTCTTATTAAGGTTTGTACTAATGATGTTATAAAAAAAAATAAACAACGGGATAATTTAGTTTAGAGGACGAAATACCTTCGAAAGTTGGCTCTATTTGTTATGGCTGCGGAGTGCTTAACTAACGTCCTAGTATTGGCTACTTGAATTCACCGGTCGGATGACCGAAGTAAGAACATGAAGACGATGTATGAGGGTTTATTTGACCCTCACAGTAAAGCGAAATGACATCGAAATACAGTAATCCCTATATTATTTAGTTATAGTCAGATTCCCGATCGTAGCTGCTGCCTTGGGGTAGGGTCACGTTTACCTATTGTGATAATTCAACCGATCTATGTTAGTTGAAACACTTTTTTCCTTTAGGTTCTACCATGCCTTGCAGATCAGTTGGAGAACGGTAAGACTAAAACCAGCAATTTAGGGTCGGAGGGCGAAGTACTGCTAACTGTAGAGGAGTGTGATAACAGTAAGATTTTCCCTTGGACAACCAGCATCTGCAACGAATCTTGAGTATCTTGTGTAAACAACTTTTTATAAATACTTGTACTTTTTGATGACGGTTGTGGTAGTTCTCGAAGTTTCAACTCTGTAGACGATCGTTAAGAGACCGATTTCATGTACTCACGTCGTTATAATACTCAGTATACAAACTCTTAATACTAGCACGTAAAACTCATCTGGAGGAAGCGTACATTACAACAGTGGGTCGTGCCATATTATACACCTATAAAATATGGACGTTTAGATTTGCTCACATGAATTTGCATGTATTCGATAGTCACTGTTTTAGAACTGTCGTAGATCAACTGATCAGTGTTGGATTTAAATTTACAAAAATTTCTACCAGGAAGTATCGTAAGTTGTAACTACAATCTATGCAAACATGTAGTCATTAACTCTATAATACTTGTTAGCTTGTGTTTTATCGGATAGGTAGCTAAAACAAATGTATATGAATGTACATAAACAGACAGATATCATCAATATAGAGCATGGGACAATTATACTTAGCCCAAGTCTCTATACCTGATTAGCACGACGAGATAAAAATAACAAAAGAGACCGAAATAATTTAGTAGTAATCATGAAAAGAAAGATTAATCACTAAGAATATAACTTGACAAGACAGGACTAAAAAGTATTGATCGAAGGATACTGAAATTTAAGATCAAGAGGAAGATTTAGAATGAATTTTACTGCATCCACTGCTAACGACTCTAACCCATCACCCATAACTTCCAACCACTGGTCGCAGTTATCATGCAAACCTCAGTCAGTTAGTCTGTATCTACAAACATAACCAACAGTCAATAATGTCATAGCTTGATGCCACGTTTTGGTTTATCCTCCCTTAGCTTTCTTTCAACCTACCTCAGCACTAGCAAGCTTCACTCGTCAAAGTAGTCAAGTGGTTAGGCATACGTTACACATGTACATGACCATTGACATTAACAAATTCGTAAAGAATTGAAACTTCCATAGTAATTTTCACTTATTTTGCCTTTCTAATTCTTTCCTTTATTTTGTGTATGTAGATATCATACTGTCGATGTAAGTGTAGCTGTGGCTATTCCTTCTGGATTAATCACACCAATAATATTTTCTGCAGATACAAAGGTAACAAAAATTTAGTTGTTTAACTTAATATTTTGCTTCAGGTAAAGCAAAACTTTCCATTTTCAGACGTTAAAAAAGTAAATAGATGAATTCTGAATGTAAGGAGAGTTTATTTCTCAATTGAACTGAAAAGAAATATTTCTTTGCTCTTACTTACTTACTTACGTCTGTTACTCCTAATGGAGCATAGGCCGCTGACCAGTATTCTCCAACCCGCTCTGTCCTGGGTCTTCCTTTCAACTTCTATCCAATTGTTGTTCGTTCTTCTCATGTCTGTCTCCATTTCTCGGTGTATTGTGTTCTTTGGTCTTCCTCTTCTCCTATGACCTTGAGGATTCCAATTGAGGGCTTTCCTCAATGTGTGTCCTATCCACTTCCAGCGCTTCTTCCTGATTTCTTCCTCCACTGTAATCTGGTTTGTTCTCTCCCATAGTAGGTTGTTGCTGATAGTATCTCGCCAACGAACCCGAAGTATTTTGCTTAGACAACTGTTAATAAACACTTGTATCTTCTGGATGATGACTTTCGTAATTTTCTAGGTTTCCGCCCCATTATTTCTTTGCTTTAGTCGTTTATTTTCCAACAGCATTTTACATACTCGTAATAGTGAGATGTTTTCATTTCACTGTTACCCCTCGTAGAGAAGCATGGGCCGCCCACCAGCATTCTTTATCGAACTTTGTCCTGGTCAATCTTTTTTAGTTGTTCCCAGTTGCTACTCATCCTTTTGATGTCTTTTTTCAATTCTCGACACAGTGTGTTCTTTGGCATTCTTCTGTTCTGTTTCCCTTCAGGATTCCAAGTTACCACTAGTTTCTTTTTTGTGCACATCTGATAATGTATTAGCCCACTGAGTTGGGTAACATTTAGGGCTCCTATACCCACCAAGATAGTCGTGATCGACTAACAGATTCTAATCTTGTATCGCTGTTTTTCATTTTATAAACTGATCACCTCTTGACTTTTTCCATTGAGTCTCAATGAGTAGTTTGGTTCAAAAATAGAATTGGTATACAATCTAACCGACACAAATATTGTATTTAATGTTGATCAATATTTCTAGCAACTTAAATGGCTAAGTCACGCAATTCCTACAGACATTATGTCGAGATGGTGTTGTGCAAATACAGTTGTCATTCAGTTTACAAGGTGGTTCGTGTCTTATCAACTAACTCCTAACATGAAATCAACTCATATAGACGGATTACATAAGGCCATAACTTAATTCATCAACATAAGTGTTATGAGGTTATCTCGTTAATTTGTGAAGTAAAATGGTCTTCATCTCACTGCCTTCTCGTAACGGGAGTATTGTTTACGAAATTGAGAGGACAAAAAGCGAATGTCCGGTGCTTTAACAAGGTTGGTGGATACGGAGGGTCCACCTAAGGGAGTCGGAGAACCCTGATTCTAAACCAATGATGCATATGGGCTCGAAGATCTAGAGAGAAAAAATGGTGTATCAACCTATTTTTGGTCACCGACTACCATGGGACTGCATCTCCTGACGTTGCTCCACTACCTTGTGGATTAGACTTTTAGATCAAAGGCTCTTGATGTGGTACTCTAAGAAAACCACCTGTTTCGGTGTGAGCACTGGGGCAGTATCCCAGCCGTCACATAAATCGAATGACGATGTGTGGTGCATATGTGTTTGGTGCCTGTTTGTAACAACTACACCATAATATTACTGACATGATAATTGAATGCAAACTGCACTATAAAAACGATGATTATGGTAAAGTACCCCCCTCCTGAGATTTTCATCCACATAAATAAAATGTTTTCAATTTGTTTGTTCAATATTCATTTTCACCGTATCTTTAAATGGTTATTTCTTTTATTCAATTTATAGGGTTTAGTACAAATCAATAAAGAAATGCGAATGTTAGTTACTAAAGCTAAACAGAATAAATTAAAACCTCAAGAATATCAGGTGAATTAAATTTTCTTTTTCATTTTGTATACTTTTGTTTTACATTGTAGATTTTATTTCAATTATATAAAGATTAGTTATTATTTCTTTGTATTATGTAACGAGATTCTAAGGCAATGTCTGTCGTTGAAAGGCGTACCTCAGAAGTACATAAACCTTGTGAAGGCTCTTTACTCGAACACTACTAGTCGAGTCAGAGCTTATGGTGAACTGTCATCTCACTTTTGCAACCTCAAGTGGTGTCCGTCAAGGCTGTCCACTTTCTCCATTTTTGTTTAACTTCATCATAGACCTACTGATGGAAATAACATTCTCGTCGACTGAGTTCTCGGGTATTGATCTCCTACCAGGAGGTCCACTTATCGACTTAGAATACGCAGATGATATAGTCCTGTTTGGTGAAGACGCTGACAAAATGCAGAGTCTTCTGGTAGCACTAAGCAACAATGCCAGAATGTTTGGAGTGCGCTTCTCTCCCTCTAAATGCAAGTTGTTGTTTCAGGACTGGTCTGCGTCAACACCTGAACTAAGGATAGGGAGTGTAGTAGTCGAACACGTCGACAACTTCACTTATCTTGGAAGTCTGATCAGCCCTAATGGGTTGGTGTCTGATGAAATCTGTGCACGGATTCGAAAATCTCGTTTGACTTTTGCCAACTTACGTTACCTATTTCGAAGACGAGATATCCGTCTATCAATAAAAGGACGAGTATACTGCGCGGCAGTCCGTTCTGTCTTACTTTACGGCAGCGAAACATGGCCTTTAAGAGTAGAAGACACCCGTAAGCTACTAGTATTTGACCACAGATGCCTTAGAAATGTTGCTGGCGTCTGCTGGGATCACCGGGTAAGTATTAGTGAGGTTAGACGCAGGGTATTAGGGAATGATGATGGTAAGTCAGTTGATGAGGTTGTTAATCTTCATCGACTGAGATGGTTGGGCCACGTGTTACATATGCCTGAACACCAATTACTACAACGCACAATGCTGACTAGTGTAGGGGATGGTTGGAAGAAAGTTAGGGGCGGCCAAACGAAAACGCGGCATCAGTGCTTGAAGTCACTAACTTCTAGTCTGAGCCATGTTGGTAGATGCAGACTACTTGGTTGGGGTCCACGTGACTATCGTAACCAATGGTTGGAGACTCTTAGTGACATGGCTCAGAATCGATCACAGTGGCGTCGGTGTATACACTGTCTATCTTCCCTTAAACTAAGAGATTAAAATCACTTCATATCCTTCTTTCTACTAACTAATTCTTTCTTCCTGTACTATATCCTTATATGCAATCTTTCTTTTATACATTACCACCTTTGACTTAACCACTGCTATGAATCCGGTGTTCATCTTGCTGTGCTAATGCGGTATGGCAACCTGGACCGATGCATATATGTGCCTGGTCTTACGTTGTAGCTGACTGACTGATTATGTAACGAATTAAAATAACCATAGAATAATACAAGAATATATTCATTAGGGCGTTAAAGAATAATAGTGTTGATATTATCTTAACGTCCAGTTAGTTATACCGTAGGTTCTGGGAAATCAACATACTTTTCAATGTCCGACTATAGAGCTGTATTCCTTGATCTTAAGACAGAGTTCGACTCGGTTGATTGTGAGGTTCTGTATTAGTGTCCGTCATTTAAAGGCATATCAAAAAGTACTTTAATCTTGTACGGGCTCTCTACTCGAACACCTCGGGTCAAGTCAGAGCTTATGGCGAACTGTCATCAGAGTTGATTACTTCAAATGATATTCGTCATGGTTGTTTGCTTTCCCCATTTTTATTTAACTTTGTCATAGATATGATTTTAGAAGTAACATTCATCGTCTGACTTCTCAGGAGTTGATCTTTTATCAAGGGATTAACTTGTTAACTTAGAACACGCAGATGATATATTTTTGTTTGAAATGCAATCTTCTGACCACCTTAAGCAACAATGCAATGGTGTTTAGGATGCGGTTTTCTCCAGGACTGGCTTGCGTCATTGGCTGGATTTATGATAGGGGGTCAGGATGTTAAACGCATCGATCGCCTCACTTATCTTGAGAGCCTAATCAGTTCTGATTGTCTGATGTCTGACGATATCTCGGAATGATTTCAAAAGGCTCGATTGGCTTTTGGCCAGCTCTTGTGGGTTATGGGAGATATCCGTCTCTCAACCAAAAGAAGTTCGCTCCGTTCCATTTTATGGGTGTGAAACATGGCCACTAAGAATGGAAGATATTTGTAGGTTACTAGTATTTGATCATAGATATCTTCGAAACCTTACTCGTATATTTTGGGACCATCGAGTAAGCAATGTCTGTGTTAGGAATAAGGTACTAGATAAGGATAATTAAACGATTGATGAAGTGGTTGACACATGCGTTACGTATGCCCAACTACCTCCTAATTCGACAGGTGATGTTATCTGGTGTTGTAAGTGGGATGAAAAAAGGTAGGGACAACTAAACCAAAACATGGCATCAGTCTACGAAGTCATTGACAATTGGACTAAGCCATTTTAATAAGTGTAGGTTACCGCCACCTAGTTGGGGTACGTGTGGTTGTTATAACCGATTGTTAAAGACTTCGGATGACACGGCTAAAAATTGTCTGCAATGACGCAAATGCATCCATTATCTGTCTTACCACAAATTCTGAGATTCTAAATTCCCCAACTTTTTTTGTTTTTATTTCACTAATTTATATTTTTTCGAATCATATCTTTGATACCTAGTATTTTCTATCACTATTGATATTGTTCCTACATCTATTACTCTGGGATTCGCTTTAAAAATTCCATCACTGTGCTAATAGGGTATGGCGGATCGAACCGATGTACATACGTACAAGGTCCTACGTTGCTACTCACTAATTATACTCAACATGAAACCTAGTGTATGTTTTAGAAATAGAATATTTAAAAGAGAACTTAGTGAATGCATCTACATTATTGTCAGGGATTTTCGGTTGGATTTCATTAGACATTCCAAGCTACAAATTATTACTGTCTTTCTAAATACCACCGAAAAGTGTATTCCTCTCTAGATAGTTTAAACAGTAGTATTGAGTGCTTTCATGAAATTGAATAGAACGTTTAAAGTATACAGCACAATAGTTGAAAGTTAAGTGCTTTAGTCAATTAGCCGTAGTGTAATTTGAAGCTCTCGTACATAAAAATGTAATGTGTGAGATGATTAGAAGTAGTCAGTAAGAAACCTTGAACTTAGGTTTCGTGCTAGTCAACACTTGTCAATAAGACGTACCTGTAATCTTTAGGAGAAATAATACTGTTTGTGAGACTCGGACCGTATCATTCAGTTTTACATTCTTAGATATTACTACTAAGTAATTCGGGCCTCTATTGTTCTTCTGTAAATGTAGATATGGCATACAAAATCATTAAATTAAACATTTGAATTCCATAATTCACTTATCAGCTTTACTTACTTACTTACTTTTCTTCTTTGACATCAGGCATTCTTTTTTACTTACGCCTGTTACTCCTCGTGAAGGAGCATAGGCCGACTTATCAGTTAATAAGTACTATTTCATTCATCGTTAATAATTACTCTTCAATTAATTATTGAATTTTATGAGTAGTATCTCGGAATACTTTCAATACATTTAATATCTCAATTGTTTTTTTAATTATTTCAGGGTGGAACATTTTCAATATCTAATTTGGGGATGTTTGGAATTACTAATTTCTGTGCTATAATTAATCCACCTCAAGCATGTATTCTTACTGTAGGTAGTACAAGACCGAAAATTCTACCAGACAATAAAAATCCTAAAGGGTAAATTTGATCAAATATTTTAGTGTATTTATATATACGTGTGTGTGTGTGCGTGTGTATGTACGTGAATTTGACTTACATTTTTGTGAACAATAAGAAAATTTCGATAGTTGAGATCATGAGTCAATTAAAGATAAACCACCATGGAAAATCTGGAAACACTCGACCGCCTTTTCGTCCTACTGTGGGACTCCTTAGCAGTGAGCATCCACGATCCCACCCCGCGAGATTCGAACTCAGGACCTATCGGTCTCGCACGCGAGCGCTTAATCTCTAGACCACTGGTGTAAATGTCTAATTTCAACTAATCCACGAAATCGAGCGACACATTCACCATTGTTATCAGTGAGTTACTATCTCACAATAGACCCGGTTGAACTGCACTGGTCACTGCTTCTCACTAGAACTCCAGGAAATAGCTCTTGAAACCAGTCACTAGTAAGCATATGCTGATTAGTATCAGAAGTTTCTATTGTGGATATTATGGTAATTTCAGTAGTTGAGACCATGAGTCAATTGAAGCTGGAAGTTATGTCTGGTAGTTCGCGTCTATTCAGAAGGTGGTGTTTTGTGTACTACTAGGTGACCATGAAGAGTAGCAAACTTGAAGAGAGTTGAAAAAGAAAAGAACAAGAGAAAAAGTAAGCACACATACAATTCACTTACATTTACTATCGAATTCAATAAACAATAATCAGCAACGACTCAAGTTACAGATTTAAGACAATCATGAAATGGAAACTAGAAGTGTACAGCTGATATCTGTCACACAAATATCATAATTAATAAGTGATGATTATCATCGATTTTCGTTTTTCTCTCTTCCTCTTCATTTTGTATTGTTTTATCTTTTGTAGATTTAAAGAAGCGAATATTTTATCAGTTACATTATGCTGTGATCATCGTGTTGTTGATGGAGCAGTTGGAGCTTATTGGCTTAGTGAATTTAAAAAGATTTTAGAGAATCCAGCACTTTTTCTTATTTAATTAAACTTTTTTGTTGTTGTTAATATACTCATAACGGATGTATGATTCGTCTTCTTTACACTGTTTTCTTTATATTCACTCAATAGAATATTTAGTAGCATAACAACAAGTACATGAATAGATATACACCCACCCTGCATCCCCATCCCACCCCACTTATCCACACACACACACACACACACTTGAAGATCATTGTAATATCTGGATTAGGTGTAAGATGTAAGTTTTTTGAAAACAAGTTTATTACAACATTAGTTATCGTATCTCTTGTTGCTAGGATTGTCCATTTAATGTATCTTTCTTTACTATTCTGTTTTTGTTGTTCACTTGGAAATGTAACCTTAGACTATAGTTATTTATATAGGGAATTTTTGTTTTTAGAAAATTGAATTGTATATCATGCATGGTTATACTATATGTTATTAAATTTTCTATTATATGCGTGTGTGTGTGTGAGTATACGAAGGTGGTGTATTTCTTTCCTTTTTTTGTAGCTATGTAAATAAAGGTACACATGTTTGTATTGGTTCAAATTGTTATGATTTTATATATGTATCAGAGTAACGAAATAGTCAAGGTAGTAGATAAGATAATGGAAAAAATGAAGTATAATCAATATGATTCGAGAGGAAAGAATGAACTTGTAAAGATTATGAAATACTTTTGGAACTTAAAATTTTGAGTAGGAGAGTAAGAGTTAATGGTTCTGAGTTATTGTAATCGATTTTGAGCCATGACGATTAAAGTTTCCAACAGTTATTTACAGTAATCATTCTATCCCCAATTAAAGTGGTCTAAGGTTCCAAATGTCCTGGTATGACTGAAGGTAGGAAAAGTTCACTCTCTCTGTCGAAGCGCTCAAATGTGGCCACGTGTATATAACAATTACCAAGAGTGTTCTATTCATTGCCTTCTGGCATCAAGAGTGTTGTTTGCGAAATTGACAGGACGAAAAGCGAATGTCGGGTACTTTGACCGTGTTGGTAGTTATGGAAGGCCTACCTATTCAAGGGTGTTGGAAAACCCTGATTTCAAACGAATACTTCACTCCCTTGTGGACGGGAACCTCTTCGTCAAAGTCTCGGGGAGTGGCTTCCTCAAGAATGCACCTGTTTTGGTTTGACACTTAGATGGATTATCCCAGCCCTCACGCGGATTTCGTATAGCGCGTTTGTATTTTGGTGCCGCTTTGTACCAATGTTTGTGTGCATAAATAAATAAATGGGTATTCTGAACCTACCAACGTGGTTCCGTACAACAACTAATGAATTCATGGACTGATCCCATATTTTGGTTTGGCCTCTCCTAGTTTTATTCCAATCTACTACAATAAACAGCATCGCTCGTCGAAGTAGGACATTAGGCATACGTAACATGTCCCAAACACCAGTCGTTAATCAAAATCCCCTATCTTATCAACTGACTTACGTGTTACTATGTGTTTAACACCAACGTTCCGCACTCGATCATCGCAATACACAAAACAACGCTTTGATAGTATCTACAGTCAAATACTAATAAAATACAAAAGTGCTTTGCTTCTTAAGTCCACGTTTCAGAGTCATAAAGTAGAACAGAACAAATTGTTACTGTTATATCCGAGAGAAGATTAAATCACGAGTAACTTCTGAGACATATGAATTGACTAATATTATCAATCAATTCTTATAGTATAACTATTCATTAATTAGATTATGTATATTTGTATTCCTCTTATTATAAGCTTTATTTTGACCTATAATTTATTATTGTACGATTTACGGTTCTTAAGTTATGTTCAGTTTATTGACTACTGCCTCCTATGTTCACAGTCACTTTTTGGCTTTATTGCGTATGAATGTTATTTCCTATTTTATGGTACGTTGCGGTATGTTTGTTTGATACATAAACCCAGTATGTCTGAAATAAATGATTCGATTCGCATATTGGAAGCTGGTATTTGGTGTTCTGAACTCAAGTGGACGGGCTAAGCGGACATAGGACCAATAAGGACGCTCGACTGCTCATATCGGTCGAACTTTATTGGTTTTGGCACAGTGCTAAGATTGTATAAGTTGTATTTTGATTGATGGATAAATCACGTTATAATACGCTGACACTTCAAATATTCCCAAATTGTAAATAAAACATCTTTTATGCATATACTATAACTTTTGAACTAAGTACAATCAATGATTAATTAGGCTAATTATACTGACATTCTAGTGTGTTAATGGTTGAGATGTTTTTTTAACAATTTCCTACCAAAAGTATGTGTTAAGATATATGAATGATAATTCCTCAAAGTAATTTACAGTTTCGTGAATTGGTTGAGGTTAAACATAAACACTGTTAGGTGCCGGCTCAATGGTATAAAGGTTAAGCGTCCGCGCGCGACACCGGAGGCCCTGGGTTCAAATTCCGCGGATGGATGCGCACAGCTGAGCAGTCCCACAGTAGGACGAGACAGCTGTCCAGTGATTCCAAGTTCCCACTGGTGGTCTAACATCAATCGGTTCATGATCTCAATCAATAAAAAATATGAGGAATATTGATAATATTTACAAATGTTTGAATGTAAACTAAGTACCTTATTCAACAAGCAGATTCCTATATAATATGTACGTTAAATTTGAAATATTCACTTGATTTTCTATTTCTATCCGTGAATAAAATGGCATCGTAATTACATGTACTTATACATATGAGGAATATTTTATTGTATTAGATCATAGAAACTGAAATGGTTTGCCCAGGATAGAGTTGGATGGAGAATACTGATGGGCGGCTTATACTCCCTCATGAAGTGTAACAGACGTAAGTAAATAAGATCATAGAAACAAAATGTCTACATATTTTCAACTATATAATGACAATATTTCTAAACGAATCATCTTTATTCAACAGGCTTATTTAATTCATTATCAAAGAAGAAGTATGATTTACATATCCTGTCTTATGTTCGTAACACGTAGAACAGTGTTAATCTCGATTGATCCAAGTAAATCAATCAGTCATATTTAAGTTAAACATCCACCATTTAATATAATTTGATTGAATCTCATACTGGTTATTACTCTGATTCCTTTTGATTTAATTACCAATCATGAAATTGCAACAGTTTTATATAAACAACAACATTAACCCTTGTTATTGACTCATTTTGTTGTACTACTACTTGGTTAATCGGTTATGATAGAACAATAAATGCGTATAATTGAAATTGAGGAACAAAATATGAAAGTTTATCAGTTTAATTGTGAAACTGAACTGAATAAATTGGTTGAACATTTTCATAGTGTATAATCGAGCTACTGATTGTAGTAGGGTTTCACTTCTCTGTGTTGAATGATTTAATCTGATTACACTTTAAATGTTTATTCATATCAGATCGAAGATGAATAGTACAAAACTATAGTACCAGTTAATGATTGTAGATGGTCACGAATTGATAGAAGTCGACAAATCCAAACTAATAGAGATTCAATATTATGTAGTATCCTAAACTACAATTAAACAATATTGATTACATTCTTATTCTTAATATTCCACTCTTTTGTCCTTTAATTATTTATTTATTTTAACACAGATATTGGTACAGGGAGGCACCAAATACATATGCACCACACAGGTCTCATTTGATATGTGTGAGGGCTGGGATACTGTCCGGCTGCTCAAACCGAAGCGGGTGGTTTTCTTAGGGGGCCACATCTGGAGCCTTCAACCTGAAGGTCTGATCCATAAGGCCGTGGAGCAACGTAAGGAGATGCAGTCCCATGGTAGCCGCCAACCAACGATTGGTTTATATGCCATTTGTCCCTTCGGGGTCCTGGAGCTAATGTGTACCATTGGTTTGGAATGAGGGTTTTCCAACTGCCCTAGGTGGACTCTCCATGTCCATTAACCCGGTTAATGTGCCGGACATTCGATTTTCATCCTTTCAATTTCGTAAGCAACATCCGTAGTGCGAGAAGCTAGTGAGCAGGACTTCCCTGTCAGTGGTTGTATGCACGTGGCCATGTGAGAGCATTTCGTGAGGGAGAGCAGACTTCCCCTACTCTCGGCCGCACCAGGCTATTTGGGAGCAGAGTAATAATACGCATACTTTTCTGATTCGAGTACAATAACTTATATCGATGAAAATCAATACTATTTTATTCATTGTCTTAGTTACAATATTAATATTCATTATACAATCTTATTATTAATGTATAGAATTCATCTGAACTAATTCAATGAATTATTAACCTTATTGATTGTTTTCACTTCATATTCAGATATGTAGGTTACTGACTAAAGTATCCATGTGTATTTGTATCTATGCGTGTACGTATATAGAAATAATCAATTAAACTACAAGGTCAGCTTTATGATAAATGTTTTTCGATAAATATTCATCTTATTTGTTTTATCTATAATGTTAGATAAAATCATAAAATAAATAGTTTCATAGGGACTCAACATGGATACTAACTTTGTACATACGGTGGCCTGTTTGAATATCTGTGGTACATTGTTCTTGCCATCTAGATATTTCAATAAGTTATCTGTTTTTTTTTGTGTTTGTCTTTGTTGTAACGGGTGGGACTGCAGGTTTTGATAAACAGCGTTTATATCGATCGATTACAGTGACAACGTAAAACACGTACGAACAACCTAGTGCCCTGATTGATCCCGCTTCCCTGTCTAGCCCAGCCAGTTGAGTCTAGAACGTAAGTCACAGCCTCTGAGTTATGAATCATTGTATTTCAGACATACTCTATTTATATACTAACCAAACAAACCATATCGTACCATAAAAATAGAAAACAACATTTACACGATATTTAACAAGTGAAACAAAGTTTACAACCTTTCATTGTACAATTTACAAAAAAGCTTGAGGTGGACCAAAAAGTATATTAACCGAAAAACAGTAATAAAGTTATTACATTCCAAAGGTAATGTAGCAATCAACAACGCATAAGATAATAACACAAATAAAAGTTTAAGGACGTTACTTAAATCAGTAGGTTGGCGTGTGTCTTGTTGGTTTTGGTACCAGAATCCACAACTATAGATAAATAATAATTCCAATGAGACCATATGGCTTCAGTAGTATATCCGAACGTAGAAGGTAATGTGAATGTTACAACAGTTTATAAATATAGATGATAGTTAATTAATCGTTCCATTATCATATCCTCAGGTGTTATCGGTATTTGATGATATGCTCGAACTAGGTCTAACTTCGAAAAAATCCGTTTTCCATGTAGGTTCAATGAGAACTTGTGTAAGTGAGGAATGGGGTATCGATCCGGAATAGTCAGGTTGTTTAAACGGCTGTAGTCTCCACAGGGGCGTCAATCTTGATCCTTCTTCGGGACCATGTGTAGTGGGGAAGTCCATGGGCTACTAGACTGCCTAATGATGCCTAGTTGCAACATGTGCTCGAATTCTCGCTTAGCAATTGTTAGCTTATGTGGTGGTAGTCTTCTTGGCCTGGCGCGTATTGGAGAGCATGTGGTAGTAATGTGATGTACATGGTGGGTGGTGCATTCGTTCCGATAATCCACCCTGGTAATGCACTCAAATTTTGACAAAATGTCAAAGATTTTCACAGGTTTTATCATTCGAACTCCATGAATAGCTCAATCGGAAACATTGTGGTTGCTGGCAATATGCATTGAAAGGAATGAACATTATTCAGATGTCGATTCCTGAACTGCTAACATCTAACTGGGGATCACTCAATATTTGCCGTCAGGATCGAACAAGAAATAATAAAAGGAAACTTGTTGAAATACTTTTTTTTCTGAGAATTCTATATTGTACCAATAATATAATATTGAATAAAGCTAATAATAATAATAACGGACATTGTTTCAACGAAGGTATTCAGTGAAACATTTTAGCAATATCCCTGCTTCTCTTACCCTCTAGATAATCAATTTAGCAGTAGTTTTACATCTACCTATTTCTATTTAACATTGATTATTGTGTTCTTTTCGATCATTATCACCTAGTTGATTATTGGTCTTCCAGTTATTAATATGGTCTACTTCACTTTGTGTGTATTGAGAATTCTCGATACTCTTTCCCCAATTTTATACAAAGTATTGAAAAAAGCTGTGAAGATTTTGGTCTAAAATGGAATCAGCCTTATTTCACAGATTTTTTTTGTTTTAAACAAATGGGAAATTGTAACATCATTAATTGTATGCTACATCTCGGATGTTTATTCCCCCCCTCTATCTTTTGTTCATTCGATTATACTACTTGTAAAGATTCAGTAACTAAT